AAATGACCTTTTTTCGTCAGTTTAGTTTTTATATCATATAGCAAATCAAGCTCAGACTCTGGCCTGTGTATACATGGTATGTTTATGGTATCTAGCTGTCTGTCTTAAAATTAGGTTAACTTATTCACTGACAGATTAAGATCCGTGATTTCTAGAAAAGGAGTCCTATTAATGAATATAGTTATATCTCAGTAGAATATTTCAATTACTTTTCAAAAATTGCTACATTAAGAGTCTATATTTGTAATGTATTTTTTTAATTTATAATTTATTCAACTGTAATTATGAAAAAAATGTTTTCAACGCATGCCCAGGAAACTCGACCATAGACGATTTTGCTTGTATGTATTGAGCGTTTTTTGGTTTTTGAAGCTTTGAAATGTTCTCGTATTAAAGCCGAATTTGTATTAATTAACGTTATGGTTACCTGTCGAAGATTACTGTAGATACATGAACAGAGCGTGTTGATATAGGTATCATAAGTTGATATTCGATATGTACTTTATGGCAAGCCGTTTTACTATTTATTCTAACTTCAAGATATCTAATAAATTTATAAGATATCTCATATAGATTATAATATATTTTATATAGTTAATAAGATATCTTATATAGTTAATAAGATATCTTATATAGTTTATAAGATATCTCATATAATTTATAAGATATCTCATATAATTTTCTTTTTAAGATATCTTATAAATAATATGAGTATTCCCCATTCCAAACTAAAAGACAAATTGAAAGAGTTGGTCCTCCTTTGTTTCATAAAAAAAAAAGAATGGTCAACGTAGATACAAGTACCTACTTTGTAAAAAATCACTCTGATTCAAACAAAAAATTCTCTGAAACTGACATTATCAAGATGATTGATTCCTTGATTGACAATATATTTGTTACTTTTGGAGGACGTGTTTTTCAACAAACAATCGGCATTCCCATAGGAACAAACTGTGCCCCTCTTCTTGCCGACTTGTTTCTTTATTCATACGAGGCTGACTTCATACAGGAACTTCTTAGGAACAAAGAAAAGAAGTTAGCAGTATCCTTTAACTTTACTTTCCGCTGTATAGATGATGTTCTCTCACTAAATAATTCAAAATTTGGTGACTATGTTGAACGCATCTATCCCATCGAACTTGAGATAAAGGATACAACAGATACAGTAAAGTCTGCCTCATATCTTGACTTACATCTAGAAATTGACAATGAGGGTCTATTGAAAACAAAAATTTACGACAGAAGAGATGATTTCAGCTTCCCAATTGTGAACTTTCTGTTTCTATGTAGCAACATTCCAGCAGCGCCTGCATACAGAGTGTATATCTCCCAGTTGATACGATATTCCAGGGTTTGTATTCCCTATCATGATTTCCTTGATAGAGGGTTGCTGCTCACAAGGAAGCTACTAAACCAAGAGTTCCAAGTGGTGAAGTTGAAATCATCCCTTCGTAAGTTTTACGGACGCCATCACGAGTTGGTTGACCGTTATTGAATATCCGTTTCACAGATGATAGCGGATTTGTTCCTAATGTCGTAACTACAATCCCGTCCCCTTTTCCCGAATTTGACCTACCGAATTAGACTTATTACTGGGTTTGTAATAACATGAGCAACACGACGGGTGCCACATGTGGAGCAGGATCTGCTTACCCTTCCTGAGCACCTGAGATCACCCTCAGTTTTTGGTGGGGTTCGTGTTGCTCAGTCTTTAGTTTTCTATGTTGTGTTTTTTGTACTATTGTTTGTCTGTTGGTCTTTTTCTTTTTTTTGTTTGCCATGGCTTTGTCAGTTTATTTTCGACTTATGAGTTTGAATGTCCCTCTGGTATCTTCCGCCTCTCTTATATAACCTGTATAAGATATCTTTTTAAAAAATATGAGATATCTTATATAGTAAATATAAGGAAGATATCTTATAAACTTTATAAGATATCTTATATACTTAAGAAGATATCTTATATACTTAATGATATATCTTATATCCTTTATAATATATCTTGTATAATCTAGTTTTTATAAGATATCTCATAAACTTTATAAGATATCTCATATAATTTTCTTAATGAGATATCTTATGAACTTTATAAGATGTCTTATATACTTCATAAGATGTCTTATAAACTCTAGAAGATATCTTATAAACTCTAGAAGATATCGTATAACGTATAGAAGATATCTTATAAAGTATATAATATATCTTATAAGGTTTATAAGATATCTTATAAAAACAGATGATATAAGATATCTTATAAAAACAGATGATATAAGATATCTTATATATTATATGAGATATCTTATATATTATATGAGATATCTTATATATTATATGAGATATCTTATATATTATATGAGATATCTTGTATATTATATGAGATATCTTGAAGTTAGAATAAATAGTAAAACGACTTGCCATAGTACTTCGACAATGAATTTTAAATTCTTTAGCTATACTTTCGGTAGCGGTGCTTATGAATTGTCAAAGACATTGATATATACATGATTATTCTCATTTGATATGTTTTGTAAATTGTACTGAAAGTAATATAAAAATATGGAGATGTAACATGATTTCCAATGAGACAACTTTCCACCAGAGTTCAAATGAAATGAATATAAGTAATCATAGGTCACCGTACGGCCTTCAACATTTAGAAAAACCCATACCGTTTAGTCGGCTATAAAAGGCCACGACATGAAAAATGTGAAATATTTCAAAAGAGAAAACTAACGGCCTAATTAGTAACAACTAATTCTGAAAAAACAAAAATACCTATAGTTTGGCATTGCCCAAGGTCATGTTTTTCTCTGACTGTTAATGACGTCTATACACTAAATCCATTGGATGTTGGATGTGTACTGATTGATATTTTAGTCTTAGATACATGATTTTTTTTATTAGTTGTTATTGGCTTTGAACTAGCTGTCAGTAACTGCGAGTACTCTCAGATCTGTACTTAGTGTCTTTTTGTTGTGGGGATGTATAAGTACCCGTTTACGTCAACTCTGTGTTTTTGTTAGATGTACTTCTATTAATCCATCTGATGAGTTAAGCCTTTTTCAACTGATTTTTATAGTTTGTTCTTATGTTGTACTTTCACACCACTGTCCCAGGTTAGGGAAGGGTTGAGCGCTCACAAACATGTTTAACCCTGCCACATTCTTTATGTGCCTGTCCCAAGTAAGGAGCCTGTATTTCAGTGGTTGTCGTTGGTTCATGTCTGTCATATTTGTTTTTCGTAAATTGTTTTGTTAAACATTAGGCCGTTAGTTTTCTCAATTAAATTGTTTCATATTTTTTATGTCGTGGCCTTTTATATCCGACCATATGGTATGGGTTTTTCTCATTGTTGAGGGCGTACGGTTGCCTATAATTGCTTACATCCACTTCATTTGAATTTTGGTGGATCTCCATATTTTTACATAAAGAATGTAGCGGGGTTATACATGTTTGTGAGGGCTCAATCCTCGCATAACATCAGACAGTGGTGTAACAGCGCAACATAAGAACAAACTGTAAAAATCAGTTGCAAATGGCTTAATTCAATAAATCGGTACGAGCACAAAAAACAACTAACATAAACACATAAGACACAAAGCACCGATTCTCGCAATTACTGAAAGCTAGTTCAACGGCAATTACAACTTAAATTAATCATGCTCACTCACACTAAAGTATCAAGTAGTACACTCCAACGGATGTAGTGTAAAGAAGTCATAAACAGTCTGAGAAACATATGACATTGCGCAATACCAAATATAAGTAAACAGTATCGACAGGAAGCAGGATCATGAGTTCTCGCAACTATATATAGCAATATATATTTATTTATGTTTAAATTTTTGAAAAACAAAATTAATGTTAGAACCGATAAAACAATTTATAAACATTTTGCTACTGTGTTAAATTGATAACCTTTAAGAATATTCAGTGTATTCAAAGTGCCAGTAAGTTTCCAAGGATCGAATCTAAATTTACGGGCTCTTTAAACAACATCACCGTAAACATTAGGACGTGATATCCTCTATTTAATAAGAATTCTACAGGTACAGCCAAACTTCCAAACCAAATCTGTGTATCTATGAAAGAATTTGGTAAGGTTTTAATTGATTTATGGTAACGAAATCCCTGACTTCATAATTTACCAGTTATCTATATGCTCTCCAAACATGTTTAACTTTTCTGAAGATATATAGAAACTAAATTTGTTAAGTTTAGTTTTGCATTACGAAGCATCACATGAGCCTTTTCTCAAGTTGATTTCTATCATTTTTATATATTTATCACACTTCAGAATTCCCAAACCAGATTAATTCACGATTCAATATACAATCACCAAATTAAGCTTGACATATATATATATGAATCTGTTTACGTATAGAAGAAAAAATAACATATATAAACTTTCTATTGCAAATAGCCTTGCAGACACCAAATTTGAAATTATTTCAAAATTGAAAAAAAACAACATTTCAAAATATTGTAAATGCAATCCAAAAATATCACGGTTTGATTTGCATTGATCCTTAAAAGTTCAAAGGTTTATAACAAAGGCACTATCTTCTAAATACAATGGTACGGTGAAGTTACTGAATTTTAAAAAAGTTTGAATATCTAAAAATGACGTAAAACTTTTGGAGACTTTTTTGGGTTTTTTTTCAAACAGGTGAACGAGTCTCGAATTAATACAACACTGGTGGTAAATTTCAATGATTCATACAACTATCTTCCCTTTGTAGTGATCGGTAACTAACGTCCCATATGAGACGAAATATATTATTATCAAATTGGAAAAAAATGCTATGCTATTAATGAATATGCATGAAATATTTGCCACTGGTCGTTACAAATACACAGAATAAATTATCCTGAAGAGCGTGTTTAAATATTCTCAATACACCTATCAATAATCTGAAATCTTATCAGTGCCATGTTTTATTGGACCCTAGTCCGACAATAATTATTATGATATAAAGACGAAAGTCTTAAGATAACGCTCATTACTAACCTAACAGCAGGAAAATGAAGGTCGTTCTGTGTTTCGCATTAGTTTTCCTTGGTATGTAAATATTTAATTGTTGCTAAAACAGATAATTAAAATACAATAGCTTTGGCCGATCTTCTGAAATAAGCCTTTTGAAGTGCCCGTTAGTTTTCTAAAAATTGTTTTGTTTTCAGAATGATAATTATTGTTTCACTCTAGATTTTAAAATAATTTCATGATCCATAAAATACTGGCCAAGTTCATTTTTGACAGCGTTTGAATTTACCGTTTAAGAGTATACCCCTTAATATCTTTCAAAACTGAGGTTTGTTTTTCCGGATTTTATCTAAGGAACTACTTGACAGAGTCATTTAAGTGTTATGATCCTTAAATACAGGTCAAGTTCGATTTTGACAGTTTTGGCCTTTAACATTTAAGACTTATGCCACTTATGAATCTTGAAAATAGAAATTTCTTTGGTTCCATGATAATAAATAAAGTGCCGCTTAACAAAATCTTTTTTTAAATCTAAAATAATGTCACGGATTTGTCATTTACCAATCAATTTTTTTTTATTTTTTTTTTCTGTATGACAGTACATGTAAAAAATCTTTTTAAAGTTAAAGACAAAATATCATTGACAATAATATAAACGTGCCTAATATAAAAGCTCGATTTTCACATACTGGCCATTTTCTGTTCAAGAGTATGCTATGAGTGGGTTATCTGATACCCCTTGATCTCCTAATTCTAGTTTTTTTTCCCAATTCAAAGCTTTTCCTAAATTGATATTTTAAGATGGTAAACGTTTAATATACGTAAGGAATTCTTTTTTTAACAGAAAATTTATTAAAAGGCTTGAGAACACCGTGTATCATCATCACCGGATACAGGTACCCCAAGCAAAGAAACAAGGAAGGATAGCAAAACGTATCTATTCTATTCCCCGTATAGTAAAACACTATTCGCCGTACAATGTATCCGCTTTATTTACATGAACTTCTCTGAAAACAGTAGTTTATGTAGTAATACAGTGTTGTTCAAGCTTAAATATGATATAACTTTGTTCTACGAAAACGTAAAATGAATAGGATAAATGTGTTTTAACAAGTTTGAACTCGTCACATGCTTCTTTGAACAGGTACCACCCGGTCCGATTCTGACGATTTGAAGAGAAAGAAAGCCAATTAAGGATCACAATCAGCCCTAAATGGAAGTTACATTATTAAGAATCAGTATCACAAAATTTACTCGTCAGCAAAACGTATTATGTAATGAAAATAAGAAGAATTTGACCTTACCTGACTTCACATTTGTTTTTCCACCGCTTTGGGGGTATCTTTATCCGGTGGTGATGCTACACAGTTAAGAAATCATAAAACAAAAATACGTATGTTTGTTATATTCACTTAATTGTAGGATATGTGAACATTTAAATAAAATAATTTGTTTGTAACATACTAGCAACTTTTGGGAAATCATTTGTATTCAAGACAACAAACCATTACAGAATCAACAAAAAGCTAAATCCCCTTCATTTTATAGTTGCAGTTTACGCAGAGAATTGTAAACAAGCCGGGGACTGCTCTGTGACACAATGTTCTCAAGGATCATTGACTTGTATTGACCACAGATGTACTTGTGCAACCAACACCGGCAACGGTAAGATCTAAGAAAATTTTGTTCATTCGTACTAGTATTTTTTATTCTTCATTTACAAATGTAGATAATCTCACATTCCTAAGGAATAAATCAAACAGTCAGTTTAATTTGTATGAACCGGTTACTCTATAATATATTCCGCTTTAACTAATGAATCCTCAACCAAAATAAAAAAAATCTTCTGTACCAAAAAACTACATTGTTCTATTACAAAATTCATGCTCATATCAAAAATTGTGTTTCTTAATGTAGAGTAATTGAGTGAAAAATTTGAATCCAATACAGGAAAGTGACTATATCTATGAATTTCTTCACTATCTAGTACTTTTTTGAATATTTTTCAATATCTTCTAACGCAAAAAAAAAAGTAGCCAGCGAAACATATATTTGATCCTTAATTCATATCTTGTCAATGATTTATATAGAGGACATTTCACATTTGAATATCAAGAGACTGTTAATTATGTTTTACACGCAAACCGACGGAGATTTCTATTACAGTCAAAAAACATAATGTGTTATACAGTTGATTTTAGTTTAAGTCTTGTGGGACTGTACTGTCTATGCATGTTAACTAAGATTATCTAATTACATCAGATGATGTTGGTTTTACCTTAACAATGTGTTGAAGATCAGAGAGATTTTATATGAGATTATTTTTTTTTTCGGATTCAAAACAGTTTCCCTCTCAATCTTGTCTTCCATCTATGTTGAAAGTTTTGTGAAGATTTGTACGTGTCTAATGACTTATAAAATTTCAAAACATTCTAAATGCTACGGTTTTTCACCAAGGCATAGAAAGCCTTAACCAAAATTTTTATGGAATTTTCAGTTTTCAATGCTCTTCAACTTCCTTACAGATTTGGCCTACCAACTGTTTTGAAAAATACAGAGTATGTAATAATAATATACGACTTGCTGCATTTGCTTATAAAGAGGTGTTATTTTCACGGTATTTCTTTTATTTCTAGCTTGTACCATACGGGATGATTGTCATCAACATTGTCAAAAGCATGGAGGACGAGCACATTGTGTCGATGGAAGTTGTACTTGCCAACATTGAAGCGTTTTAATAAATATTCGATCTTAGTTATATTGGTTTTATACAATACTTATCTGGATATTATATTCTCTTTGTTACAGTGATTTCTCTTGGAATCTAAATAACAATTGTCCGCATTACTTTCTACTGCACTCATGATTATGTTGACTGCTATGGAATATATCTGTCGCAGATGACAATCAATATGTTCCACTCGTCGTAGCCATACTCCCACCCTCAATTCCTTGCTTTTGAATTCAGGCGACAGTATTTAACCGATGTTCAAATCTCGTAAATCGATTTAAAAGAGACAAATCACGGTAACACATGAAAACCGAGTGAATCTCATGAACCACTTAAGGAGCGAGACCGGGTGCGAAGAGTCTCATGCCATGCATGCATCACCGCTAATGAGTTGAGACGCTGACACATTGTATTGGTCAACCAATTCGTGATCGTAAATCAATAAGGAAGAGACGAATCAAGGTAACAAACAAAAACTGGAGTAATCGCATGAACTTCAAAAGAATCGAGACCTGGTGCTTCAACAAGGTAGGCGTCTTCGGCTATGCATGCACCACACGCAATAAGATTTCATACTCAATGAAGGTGGTACATAACACTACAGGGAGATAACTCTGAAACAATCAGCTGAACGTTTTAATCACGTTCTATTGTTAAGGAAATATTAAGCTTCTCAATGACCAAAATTAGTGTTTGTCAAACTGCTATATATCCAATGAAATGTTTCCCATAAAGTATGTGGTTCGAGTTTTTGGAAATTTTTATAGTTTTGTCAAAGGGTCAAAGTAAATATTTTGTCAAAATTTTATGAAAATTAAACGAGCCACATTAATTTTGGTCAAGGTGTTTGGTACCACCTTAAAATGTCACAATAGGTAATTAGACACAATCGGTAAAATTACAGATCAGACGACTGTTATGGTTTTGTACTGTACTGAAATTTCAGTCGTTCTTCTCCATAACATAGATCAGTTTTTGTGTAAGGCGCACAACTCTGTTTATGAAGTCCATATAGTGTGACCATGCACGAGCGTAACGCTTTAACAATGATATGTAAACGCTATACGTTGTAATGAGGGTTTGTTACTGTTGAGAAATTTCTTCTTTTTTTTAAGAAGGTTCTGTATGACTTTTGCTTCATATGAGTACAAAAATAAGTCCACCAGTAGTGGTGTACAATTATTATTCTTAGAAAACCGACTGTCTACTGATATATCAATCCACCAAACTCAACAAATGTGTTATCGATAAAAAAAACCCAGCAATTTGATAATATCTTCTTATGTGTACTAGTTTTTGTTTTTTTTAAATCAATGGTTCTTCACAAAATAAGATTTTTCATGACATGAAACATGTTATTTGTATCTAGGTTTCACATTTTTGTAGAAAAAGCGCACTTTAAGACCTATATAGTGTCGATTTCAGTCTTTCTTTCTTCATATCTATTTTTAAACAGTTTTTGTTTAAAGAGAACACCCTTGTTAATGTAGTCGTATAGTATGAACATAACCTCATCATAGATACCGGGATTGAAACTATGTACGCCAGACGAGCGTTTCGTCTACAAAAGCTATTAATTCACGTTCTTTCCGTTTTCATTTTTTACTGCTCACTTTCATATGCTCATTTGTTGAACCCATAAATTTAGTCCGAGCATTTTACTTGATGTTGAATTGTCATTTGGATTCGAACCATACACGGAGCTTGACCAAATCTAAAGAAACAATCCGCCCTCCCATTTCCCAGTATGTATATTTTCTGATGCTTTTGATTTAACATTTCAGCTCTGATAGAAAGATAATGAACCAGCATCAAGGCATATATAAGAAAGTGAGCTTGGTGCTTTAATGTATTGTGAATGGACTGGCCAAATTTACTTTATTAGGGTTAAGAAAGAAACGAATAACACAATAATGCCAAGACCAGAACCTTGAATGTGTTGTGTCCAGTAAGATGTGATTGAAACTATTGTATTAGGTAATAGATCATGAATATCAATTAGTTAGATGCTCACGCTTTTCTTGATGATCTTGATCTTCCCCAACCACCACCTATATGTAGGATGAAACTCAAATTAAAATTTTAGTGAAAACATTTTATGGTGATGAGGTTTTAATGAAATGCTAGTTATTTTGAGTCTTTCTCCAATTTTGTGAGAATTTAAAGATACTAGTTCATACTGTGTTTTCTATTGTATGTTTCTTTTTCATTTTGTTATTTAAATAAGATTGATGTTTTAAAGGGATATTTTATAATCCCAAATCTTACTATTTTATCGTATTATAAAATATATGTTTCTTTTCAATTTGATTCAACATTGACATTTTGTATGGGGCAAATTGTTGATCCCCACCTTCGCTATTCATCATAGTTGTTAGAAAAAATAATACTTATAATAATAAATATAAAAGTAGAAATAAAATAGCAACACAAATGTTGCAACAAATTTTTCCAAATAGGTGTTTATGCTATGGATTACCAAGTAGTTCTTTATATAACTTTATTGCTGCTGGATGGCCCTTCAGTTACTTTATCGTAGCCAAGTTTTTGAGTGCAAGTTGGTTGTTTTTCTTTGTTGCAGATAGATGCCATGACAAATTTACAGCCAAATAAATTTTTTCAAAAGCCTTTGATTTATTATCTAATTGTTAAATTCAATACATTATGACGTCCTACAGTAACCAATATAAGCACACTTACATTTATCTAGGCCCCTTTCAATCTATTTGTATATAAAAACATAGTATGATATAGATATAGGAAGATGTGGTATGAGTGCCAATGAGACAACTCTCCATCCAAGTTACAATTTATAAAAGTAAACCATTATAGGTCAAGGTACGGCCTTCAACACGGAGCATTGGCTCACACCGAACAGCAAGCTATAAAGGGCCCCAAAAAATTACTAGTGTAAAACCATTCAAATGATAGTTTATTTAACTACAATACGCATTTTTTAAAGGAAATTTCAATATTCGATTTTCTAATTGCACATTTAAAAAAATGTCTTTTATTTTAAGGCATTTTAGGTGTGTGTTCTTTTGTTTGCATTTTATCCCTTTTTAAATCAGCGTCTTTTTAGATTTGCTATACGTATGTTATTTGACCACCATATTGAATCGGTTAATGCCAACCAATAAATTGTATTTAAGGTTGTGCATGAATTGTTAATCATAAAGTTAGGATATATCTACTTAAAAACATAAATTTATATTTTCAATCATGTAAACTAATTTGCTAGTGATGAATAAGACAAAAAAAAAAACGAATACTGTGTCGGAACCTGCGTTGCATGATGTTGTTAAGAAGAACAAACTTTATTGCCATACAGATTTTAAAATCCGAAGTGTAAGAAATATTTCTTTTTTGTCATAATAACAAAAGAGAGGTGGAACAATCACAGCACTAATATAAAAAATTCCAATTTGTTAAAAATACAAAGCTGTTGGGTTTGCTCCTTTGAATTGTTTCACATTTTATAGCTTTCCATACGTATGGGTTTGACTAATTGCTCAAAGCCATGCGTTGATCTGTATTTGTTTACACCTTTTGTTTCTATGGATAGTGTCAATGGCTATCATATCCAATCTTCATATTTTTTTTAATGTTGTAATACTGTTCATTGAAGGTTGTTGGAGTTACACATAACACAAAACACAAACAAAGTACCTTCCATAGCATTCAGTGACAATAATGAGAAAGTTACACAAATCAGGAACACATTAAAATATTATTCAAATCGACATATTATATGAGTTTCATTTTTTTCAATCAATATACAAAGTTTGATTAATGTTGAAGGAAGACCATTATATAAACACATCAAACAAAGTTCCAACGTAAGTACCTTCTAGAGCTTTCGATGACTAAATCTTACATGTTCAACACATGGTGAAATATGACATCAAATAATCAAAATAATATATCCAATATGAAATATGCAAAGATATAAATGCAATATGAAATATGCAAAGATATAAATGCAATCAGTGTGCTAAGTTTAAATAAAGTGAAGGAAAACTTGCATTTACCCATTATAAAAACTAGGCCTCAATCGCTCATCTGGTAAAATATGCAGCATTTAAATCATCAGCAAAAGTGGCAACCACACTAAGGAATATTGCGATCCAGTTTGATCTAGATACACGCAGATATGTTCAACTGTTTAGAAATCTTAACTTGGTAATCATTTTAGCTATTCAACTGAAAATGTTTATATCACGGATATGTTCGTATTGTTGTAGTAACAATTTCGTCCTTTCCCTTTTGTTATAACATTTCAAATGCGAACTTTCTTTGAAGTTTTACTATGGATCACGAGGGGTGACATTGGCATTTTTGGTAGGTTTTGTGTTTCTCTGTTTTAATAAAGATAAGGAGATATGGTATGATTGCCAATGAGACAATTATCCAACAAAGTTCAAATGAAGTGGATGTAAGCAATTATTGGCAACCGTACGGCCTTCAACAATGAAAAACCCATACCGCATAGTCGGCTGTAAAAGACTCGACATGAAAAATATGAAACAATTCAATTGAGAAAACTAACGGCCTAATTTATTTTTTTAAATTTTCTATGTAGTGTTTTGTAAACTGTAGCATGTCTTTACGTTGTTTATTTTTGACCATGGTTTTGTCTATTTTTTTTCGACTTTTATTTTTTTTCCTTGTCATTTGGTATCTTTTTTCGATGACAGATCATGTATGTATTCGTAGCTAACCTTTCGTGTCTTATTTCAAAGATGATTAAATTACTGTGTGATTTTGAGCTATGGTTTTGACAATGAATATAAGTTTTTTTCAATACATTACATTATTCTTTATTTTACAAGCTAATCTTTACTTTATCAAAACATGCATTTGTTATTTAATATATTTATTTACTTTTTGTGAGGAAAAGATGCAGAACGTTTTTAATTTTCAAATGTGTTTTTACAAAGCAAAATTTGCTGACAACTTTATGCATATTAATTAAATTAATTTTTTTTTTCATAGTCCATCTTTTGTTCAAACATTCAATATTTAGA